TCTTATCAATGATCTCTATGCAGCTGGGACTACAGTCACCAAGAAAACAATTGGTAACACACTACGCTGACAAGGATTGAAATCCTGCAGTGCCCGCAAGGTCCCTCTGCTCAAGAAAGCACATGTTCAGGCCCGTCTGAAGTTTGCCACTGAACATCTGAATGATGCAGAGGAGGACTGGTTTGAAAGTGTTGTGGTCAGATGAGACCAAAATCAAGCTCTTTGGCATCAACTCAACTTGCTGTGTTTGGAGGAGGACGAGGAATGCTGCCTATGACCCCAAGAACACCATCCCAATTGTCAAACATGGTGGTGGAAACCTTCTGCTTTGGGTATCCTTTTCTGCTAAGGCGACAGGACAACTGCACAGCATCAAAGGGACGATGGACGGGGCAATGTACCATCAAATCTTGGGTGAGAACCTTCTTCCCTCAGCCAGGGAATTAAAAATGGGTCATGGATGGGTGTTCCAGCATGACAATGACCCAAAACACATGGCCAAGACAACAAAGGAGTGGCTCAAGAAGAAGCACATTAAGGTCCTGGAGTGGCCTAGCCAGTCTCCAGACCTTAATCCGATTGCAAATCTGTGGAAGGAGCTGAAAGTTCGAGTTGCCAAACGTCAGCCACAAAACCTTAATGACTTGGAGAGGATCTGCCAAGAGGAGTGGGCCAAAATCCCTCCTGAGATGTGTGCAAACCTGGTGGAAACCTGTGTTACAATACACCTACCTATTTTTAGACTGATCATTTCTTTGTGAGTGGGCAAACATTCAAAATCAGTAGGGGATCAAATACTTATTTCCTTCACTGTATACAGAAAATGTACCAGTTAATCACATGCATGTTATAGAGATGGGGTTTTACAAACGTAGTTATAGCCTGTCACTGTGAGTAATATATAGAAGAGTGCATTGAAAAATGAGTGCATGGAAGTAATAAAAATTATTTGAGAGGTATAGTATTATCCCACTTATCCCACATTATCTCATTATCCCACAATTGTCAAAATGTCTGTGACAACTGCTAATTGGAGATGTGCTCTGGAAAGTGTAGCGGAGGAACTTCACAGGAACCGTAGAATATACAAAATCACACTGAATTGTAAACCACTTTTGTAATTATGCAAAAAGAGACATGGCATGATTTCTGATTTTCTAAATTGAGTTAAAATATGACATCTTTTTCCTGAGGAATTATTACAAACTAAAGTGCTTAAAGATCCTTGGTTACATCCCTTCATACAGTCTGTATTGCCTATACCAGCCACTCTGTACAGGGAGAATTTAAGAGGGGTATAATTGGATGGTATGGGAAAATTAGACTGTAACCATATGAGGTAACTGGCTCCTGATGAGTATGTGCGTCTGTAGTAGGTAAATCAGGCTGTAAGCTTCCCTGGAACATGCCCCGTTGTAAATATTCTCTATTGTACATTAAATTAAATATCAGCTAATTTTATTTCATTGCTAACCACTGACCTCACAGGGGCACTAGGAAATTATATGATTCATCCTGTCACCTGCTGGCTTTTTCCAACACAGAAACAAAAAGAGTCCACAGGAAATAACAAGTGACATATTTCCAGCCACAGATTAATAATTACCACTGTAGATATTTCTTCATACATGGATTCCAACCATGTGAATCCACCAGGATCCCTCCTCACAAATTAAGGCATAACAGTACCCTTGGATGTGTCCAGGAACAGAAGACAGAAGGCCGGAGGGCTTACCTTTCATGATATAGTTGGTCCATGAGATGGGTCAGAATGTAAATGAGTATTAAATGTAGACATATTTACAGATATAGCCCTGGCCACTGAGCTGCTTGGCTGTAGTTGCTAATGCCGGTTTCAGTTTTATGTTTAAATTTAAATTCCAGGCAAATAGAAGTACTGCAGGGAGTTCTGTTTGACTCTGTAGTTGAGATTTTGAGTCCAAATTCACTGGGTTTGCACTTCAGCCAGTATTTCTTTTTCCTTTGGAGCTCTGCAGGTAAGCAAACAAAACAAATTGTATCATATTGACTTGAGCAGTAGACTTTTTAATCATTTTTCACTGCTGGTCCTCTATAGATGGGTAAATCCTCCTCTACTTATGTTCTCAAAATAGTTTCAGGTTAATGTTAAGACTTTAGTGTTGAAGTAAAATATCAATTTGACTAGACAGTACATAAGATTTACTTCTGCAGTAGAAATTGTGTATACTATCTGAGAGACAATAGCCACAAATATTGTTCAGTGGCTGGATCGTATGTAAGCAGACTGATTATGTCACAATGTAAGATAGGGGGAGATGAGGCAGCTTTAATCTTGCAATAGAAATTTGAGTATAGAAGCCAATGCCTCCAAGGCCCCAGGCCCAGACAGATTTTCTGCCTCCTATTACAAGAAATTTGGCCCGCTGTTGACACTCCACCTGTTCAAATTCTTTACGGCCTTAAGTGAAGGTATGGCCATTGACACAGAATCCAATTGGGTGCACACATAATACCTAATCCTGACAAGAACCACACTGATGTGGCCAATTTATCCCCCAATGTCCTTTATCAGCAATGATCTAAAACTCTTGACGAAAAAAATATACTATCCGACTTCACGAATTTCTGGTGTAATCCTCTGTAGGATAGCACACTTTCTGGAACACGCAGGGATCAGGTAATCTGCTTACTTCATAGATACACTGAAAAAATGCCCCCCATGGAGACCTACCACCTGTATCAGATTACCCATTTTCTGCAGACTCTATGTAGGGAGCATGGCGATGTAACCACTAGAACCATGTTTGAAAATAAGTGCTTGCGTGATGCTGCCCCCCCCCCCCCATTGAGGGATATCAGAGTTACATGCTCTGTTCAATAGCCAACATACCAAACAATCCTATCAAACGGCTTGGGAATCAGACCTTGGTGAGAAGATAGAAGAGGAGGAGTGGACACAGTGGTCAACCATGGTGCACAGGGAAATACTCAACACCACTCTAGCGGAGGTGAACTATAAGGTGTTATCTAGATGGTACCTTGTCCCAGCACGGCTGGCAAAGATCTACCTTTGTGCTTCATCTTTGTGCTTCCGAGGATGTGGGCAGGTAGGTGATATGTACCATGTCTGGTGGTTCTGCCCGAAGATCCAACGCACTGTCAGTTTAGGTGGATGGCATTGTCTTGGTAGGTTTGCAGTTGTGCCATACTCTTTCCATTTTCGGATATTGGATTGAACAGTGCTCCATGAAATGTTCAAGGCTTGGGATATTTTTATAACCTAATTCTGCTTTAAACATCTTCACAACTTTATCCCTGATCTGTCTGATGTGTTCCTTGGCTTTCATGATGCTGTTTGTTCACTAATGTTCTCTAACAAACCTCTGAGGGCTTCACAGAACAGCTGTATTTATACTGAGATTAAATTACACACAGGTGGACTCTATTTGCTAATTTGGTGACTTGTGAAGGCACTTGCTTCTACTAGATTGTAGTTAGGGGTATCAGAGTAAAGGGGGCTAAATACACATCGCGTCTGCCATTTTGTTGAAGTCCAAGATGTCTGCACACATGGACGGGCGCCATCTTTCCTTAGATATTTTACATAGATATTTTACATACAGCCATATCAAGCAGCAGATACACAATAAGGATGGTGATTGTAAAGATGGTGATAAGATAATTGGAAAGTAATATCAGATAAATATTTGGACCAATGGATAGTTTTAAATATGGGGAAAACTTCATTCAAAGGGTCAAATAAATAACAAACAAATGTGCGCAGTATTGGAACTCCTTAACCGGGAGTGAATCCAACAACCAATTGGTATATAAATGCGCAGCTATATATATTAATCACATAATATAATATAGATTGTTCAGATTTAGTCACTGCAGTCATATCTGCTGATATAAGGTATGGCTATTTCAACACAATCAAGTTCAAAATATAAATAAAGGTAAAACACATATGGCTTTATATAAAATCGCAAAAAAAATAAATAAAAAAATGCATAGAAATAAATAAAACCAATGAAAATATATATAAAAAAAAATTTCAAAATGCCCACACAGGAGAAAAAACTACATGCCATAAATAGAGTGGAGCAATCTGGCTAGCCTGGTAATATTTAACTACATTAGGCACCCCAAGACCTCCCTGGAGTCTATGGATAAAAAGTGTATTTCTAGAAACTCTGGGGCGTCTGATGGCCCAGATGAATCGCAAAATCCTCACCTGAATCAGCCAGAGAAAATGAGGAGGAACCCGCACTGGGAGGGTGCGAAAATAATATAACAGTTTAGTCAGGATGGTCATTTTCAAGGAGTTGATCTGTCCTATCACATTTCTGGTTTTAACATGAAAAAATGTGGAAAATTTTGAAGGGGTATGAATACATTTTCAAGGCACTGTATACATATCTTTGTTTGCTTGTACAAAAACAATTCTTTGTGAACCTCAGAGGTATATTTAAAGTTCCACTTCAAATTACCTATCTTTGCCTGGACAGTATGTAAGCAGCTTTGTTAGGATGCACCAAAAGAGGAAGAAGCAAGGTAAGTTTTATCATGCAAAAAACAGTAGAATGTGTTGTCTAAGCAACAATAGCAGGGGCGGACTGAAAACTCATGGGTCCCCCGGGAAATAGGGGATCATGGGGCCCACTGTGTTCTTGCCCAAACTCAAAAAAGCCTATGAAAAAGGTACCAGGGGAATCTCATGGGGCCCCCTACTGACCCCGGGCCCTCGGGCAGTGCCCGAGTTTCAAAATGGTCAGTCCGCCCCTGGACAATAGTCACAAATATTTGGAGCACTAGAATAGACTTTAAAACTTTTGAGGTACAACCAGGGGCGGACTGACCATTTTGAAACTCGGGCACTGCCCGATCAGTAGGGGGCCCCATGAGATGCCCCTGGTACCTTTTTCATAGGCTTTTTGAGTTTGGGCAAGGACACAGGGGCCCCATGATCCCCTATTGCCCGGGGGCCCCATGAGTTGTCAGTCCGCCCCTGGTACAACAAAGGATTTAATCTGCAGCAATCAAAAGAAATTGAGTAACTGGGGTCCTGCACATGCATTGCAATGAACCACAATGCAGAGTAACGCACCACCATACATTGTGGTATGTTTCATAGAAAAAAGCTGCATGTCCTTTTTTTGACTGTCAGGCTGTCAAGATACTGGAATTGGATGCTGCCACTTTTCAGCAGATAGTTTTCTGCTTGGCTCCTTCAATTTTTCATTTGGGTGGTGTCTGGCAGGAGGGGAAGATAAGGCCACCCACTAATCATATTTCAACCGGTTCCTGAAGAACTAGCTGAAATTCATACAATGTATGGTCTGCTATACTCTGAAATCAGGGGCGGATTTGTAATAGGGAGTGTTCATTGTTTTTCTGTTTGGGCAAGGACACAGGGGCCCCATAATCCCCTATTGCCCGGGGGCCCCATGAGTTGTCAGTCCGCCCCTGTCTGAATATTTGTAATGTGTTTGTTTCTTCTGTATCCTCTTTATTCAGACATTGCACATAGAATGTGGAGCTCATTTCCAGCGCAGGTACCCAAAGGTCAGCTACCTCTAATGTGCTGTCTTCATTCAACCAATACAGCTCAAAACCTACTTTTTCTCATTTTGTTGTAACTCAGGCTTGAGCTTCAACCCTCCTTGAAATAGAATCTATTTATTTGCTATATTATACAATTTATGGCTTCCTATCCTTGTTACAGAAAACAATATAAACATGTTCTTGTTATCCTTGAGTTGGTTTGTAGTCTGCCCTAGTATTATTCAAGTCCTTGGTGGAGATACAGCCCAAGAGTACAATCGGATGATAACACAATCAATTTAGAGAGCAAACTCCAAGCTCCATTCAGGGATCTTTTAAAATGAAGATTATCATTAAAAAAGAGATTATTAGATTGGTATTTGCACACGCAATGCAGCTTAGAATGTTCCATTACGAAGATAACCTTGTCATAAAATCACAGAGCTTTTTACAGATGCGACTGTATTTTACTACTATTGATCAAGTTAATGTTGCAGCCAATCATCACACATTCACTTTCAGTGCTCCTCTTCCTCTGAATAGATAAAAGAACAATCACTGATAAATTAGATTAGATTACTACACATATTCAGCATTCTAAATTCTATATATATCACTTACAGAAAGGTATCCAATATATTTGTGGTTACAAAGTATTTTTTAGTTTTCAGTTTAGTACTGATCAATATGTATTGTTTTGTTTGTACCAAAAATGCTACCGTTGATATTCATTTTAAACTAATGTGTGTTAAAGTGTATGTTACCCCAACATTTCATATTCCTGATATGTGTCTGTTGTACCATATGCTTTTGAAAAGTATCCTGCTGTCTTTGCACTGCCTCCTTTGTGTGAAATACCTGGTTATCCTGCCAGTTCCCATGCTTTTCTATTTCAAATTGACTGCGCTAAGCATGGTACCACACCCGTCCCAGCAAGGTCAGTTTTCTGGCTTTGCTGAGAGCACAGTCTGCTTGTCCTCCAATAGTCAGACTTGTGCTGACATGCCCCCTTCACAAGTAAATCACTGGGAAGATCAGTGTGCTGCTGTTTCTCTGCTCCCTGCTGACACAAACCTGCTGCAGTCTCCATCCCCTGCTCCTAAGCCCCTTATGCAGCTGAGAACAGAGGTCATGTGATAACTTCTAAAAAAAGAGAAAAGAAACTTATAAAGTTTTGTTTCTGTGTGTACTCTATACTCTATACTAAATGGGGGAAGTCATGGGGAGTTCTTTCAAAAAAGCCTATGGGTCCAGAGGCATCTCATGGCCCCCTACTGAAGACCAGTCGGGCAGTGCCCGAGAGACAGTAAAGGGAAGAGGGAATAGGCACTAGAGCAGCACTTCCAGGAGTAGAAGCAGACTCTGGGCAGAACAGAAGAGAAAGAAGGCACTTCTAAGTGCAGTACATCCACATATTTATTGGTAGAAATGGTTAAAACCACTTACAAAGGACGATAAGGCTCAGGCATATAGTAAGTCAATGCAGGGCTGCTGTCACTATTTCTATGAGCTCACTGTGCCATCCAGCAGCAGCAGGGGGAGCTCAGGTGCAACTCCAAGATGGCCATCGTCTTCCTGTGGATGAATGCACGCCATCCGCTTGGAATGCATGTCCTGGGAGTGACATCAATGGTGGGTGGTGACACGTTTCAGAGCATGCGCACTTAGAAGCACCTTCTTTCTCTTCTTTCTATTTAAAGAGACCCTTTCATATTTAGAGCTTGGCAACTCATCTTGGGATACTTGCATTTATTTACTTAGAGTATACATTTACATTATCTGCTTATCTTTGCTAATTGTAGTGTCTGTGGCCCAGAGAGTTGAAAAGCCATAAACTTTCTCTCCTTCTAAGTTACTGGTGTGTATATAATATATATATTTACAGCCTATCTTTATTTATTTCAGGTACTTATATAGCACTGTCAATTTTACGCAGCGCTTTACATACATATATTATACATTCACATCAGTCCCTAACCCTCAAGGGGTGTACAATCTAAGGTCCCTAACTTACAATACATTCATACATACACATACTAGGGCTAATTTAGACTGGATCCAATTAACCTACCAGCATGTCTTTGGAGTGTGGAAGGAAACTGGAGTTCCCGGGGGAAACCCATGCAGGCACAGGGAGAACATGCAAACTCCATGCAGGTGGTGCTGTGGTTGGGATTCAAACCAACGACCCTAGTTCTGCCAGGTGGAAGTGCTAACCATTTAGCCACTGTGCTGCCCCATACCACAGTTGCCAAGTATTGATGGTTGTTGTTTCTATTGCACTGGTGTTCTGCATTGTGGTTTAACTGTGTTTGTGCATTTAAACCTTATTATTTTTTCTTTCAACAAATTAACATAGAGGTTTTTCTAAGAATTGTGTCTCTTGCATTATTATTCTATACTGTTGAAATATTTCTGAACTCAAAGTGTCAGAGGTGTCAGGGGCAACACCTGGGGGAGGTCAGGGCAACAACTGGGCACAAGCAGTATTAAGCGGTCCCTGCAAGGGTAGTGATATATATATATTATATATATACAGTGAGGAACAGAAGTATTTGAACACCCTGCGATTTTGCAAGTTCTCCCACTTAGAAATCATGGAGGGGTCTGAAATTCACATTGTAGGTGCATTCCTACTCTGAGAGACAGAATTAAAAAAAAATTCAGGAAATCACATTGTATGATTTGTAAAGAATTTATTTGTCTTGCACTGCTGAACATAAGTATTTGAACACCTGAAAAAATCAGTGTTAATATTTGGTACAGAAGCCTTTGTTTGTAATTACAGAGGTCAAACGTTTCCTGTAGTTTTCTTGACCAGGTTTGCACACACTGCAACAGGGATTTTGGCCCACTCTCCACACAGATCTGAGCAACATAGAGTGTCAGCTCCCTTAAAGATGTTCTATTGGATTTAGGTCTGGAGACTGGCTAGGCCACTCCCAGAACCTTGATATGCTTCTTACGGAGCCACTCCTTGGTTATCCTGGCTGTGTGCTTCGGGTCGTTGTCATGTTGGAAGACCCAACCACGGCCCATCTTCAATGCTCTGAGGGAAGGAGGTTGTTGCTCAAAATCTCACAATAAATGGCCCCATTCATCCTCTCCTTATTACAGTGCAGTCGTCCTGTCCCCTTCGCAGAAAAGCACCCCCAAAGCATGATGTTACCACCCCCATGCTTCACAGTAGGGGATGAGTTCTTGGGATGCAACTCATCCTTTTTCCTCCAAACACGACGAGTGAAGTTTAGACCAAAAGTTCTACTTTGGTCTCATCTGACCACATGACTTTCTCCCATGCCTGCCTCTGGATCATCCAGATGGTCATTGGCAAACTTCAGATGGGCCTGGACATGTGATGACTTGAGCAGGGGAACCTTCCGTGCAATGCATGATTTGAAACCATGACGACGTAGTGTTCTACCAACAGTGACCTTTGAAACTGTGGTCCCAGCTCTCTTCATGTCATTGACCAGCTCCTCCCTTGTAGTTCTGGGCTGATTCCTCACCTTTCATATCATCAGTGATACCCCACGAGGTGAGATCTTGCATGGAGCCCCAGTCCGAGGGAGACTGACAGTCGTCTTTAGCCTCTACCATTTTCTAACAATTGCTCCAACAGTTGATCTATTTTCACCAAGCTGCGTGGCAATTGCCCCATAGCCCTTTCCAGCCTTGTGGAGGTCCATAATTTTGTCTCTGGTGTCTTTTTACAGCTCTTTGGTCTTGCCCATGGTAGTAGTTGGCGTCTGACTGACTGTGGGGTGGACAGGTGTCTTTAAAGAGCTCAGACAGGTGCTACAAAGTTAGATTAATGAGTGGAGTAGAGGTGGACTTTTCAAAGGCACAGTACAGGTCTTTGAGAGCCAAAATTCTTGCGGTTTCTTATGTGTTCAAATACTTATGTGCAGCAGTGCAAGACAAATAAATTCTTTAAAAATCATACAATGTGATTTCCTGAATTTTTTTAAAATTCTGTCTCTCAGAGTGGGAATGCACCTACAATGTTAATTTCAGACCCCTCCATGATTTCTAAGTGGGAGAAACTTGCAAAATTGCAGGGTGTTCAAATACTTCTGTTCCTCACTGTATATACACACATACTGTATCTCACAGAAGTGAGTACACCCCCTCACATTTTTGTAAATATTTTTTTGTAAATATTTTATTATATCTTTTAATGTGACAACACTGAAGAAATGACACTTTGCTACAATGTAAAGTAGTGAGTGTACAGCTTGTATAGCAGTTTAAATTTGCTGTCCCCTCAAGATAACACAACACACAGCCATTAATGTCTAAACCGCTGGCAACAAAAGTGAGTACACCCCTAAGTGAAAATGTCCAAATTGGGCCCAATTAGCCATTTTCCTCTCCCCCGTGTCATGTGACTCGTTAGTGCTACAAGGTCTCAGGTGTGAATGGGGAGCAGATGTGTTAAATTTGGTGTTATCACTCTCATTCTCTCATACTGGTCACTGGAAGTTCAACATGGCACCTCATGGCAAAGAACTCTCTGAGGTCCTGTAAGCACGTTATTCCACTGCAAAGCTTGGTGTCATCTGCAAAGAGTGAAACTGTATTTTAATCCCAG